ACGATTCCTAATTGATTTTATTTTGGGAAAAAGCCAAATTATTTAGATTAAACCCAACCCGGAATAAACCGGAACCGAAAGTTTTCTATATGGAAAAATTAATTTAATCGTCCCAACTTAGGGTTCATTCATGCATTAAGCAAAATTAATCATCACATTCACCATCATCCACCAATATAGCAAATAGAATTAAAAGATACCGCTTCTTGCCTTATGTGTTAAAGCGGGGCCACAAATCCAGATTTTTAAGTAATATGAATCAAATAATAAACAATAAAATAATAAATCCTAAAATCATAATCACCAAAAATTAGTTGATTTGGTTTGATTAAAACACAAATTTCCCATTATTGGATTAAAACACAATTTGCCCATTATTGATCATTTTTCGGATTAAGATTAAAAATCTACTTAATGACATGAAATTAAAATACGATAAGAAAAATATTCTGGAACTTAAAGACAGTTGCGTCATGCAGTTGTTCTATGAAGAACAGTCGCGTGACGGAACTCTTAGTCATTATTCTGGAATTTAGAACACTTGCGCCACGCAGCTGTTCTATGAAGAACAGTCGCGTGACAGAACTCTAATTATTGTCCTGGAACTTTAGACAGTTGCGCCACGCAGTTGTTCTATTAAGAACAGTCGTGCGACGGAACTCCTAGTTACGTGACGGAACCGTTCGTGACTTTATTGAAATCATTATATGCATTGATTATTTATTCAAAATATAATATTAAATAAAAAGTAAAAACTAAACTAAAGACTGTGCACACGAACAACTGCGTCACGCGGGTGGTCCAGTCCAGGTTAAGGTCTTTTGGACATGAACAGCCGCGTCACGCAGGAGTAGTAGCTGCGTGACGCGGCTGCTCTAGTCCCGTTAACCTACCTTTCAAACTATCCTTTTTACGTGTTCTTTTTATTTAACAATGATCAAAACACAACTCAGAAAAGTTCAGAAATGGGCAAAAGTTACGTTTAAACCCGAATAACGGACCAACCTAATGTTATGAAAATGAGATTTTTAAGAAATATAAAGACTAAAAATGAAAAGAAAAAGTTAAAGTGATTACCTAGCCCGTCAGATTTGAGGAATTGCATGGCACTTGGATTAGTTTAGGGACACTGCTTCACGGATCCCAGAAGTATTGTTTATCAAAGTTTTCACAAAAAAAAAACGGTTTCCTGTTTCTTTCTTTTCGTCTCTTTTTCTCTTCTTATCCTTTTTTTTTTTTTTTGCCTTTTTTGATTTTAATCTATATATCTAATGGCTTGATCTTCCTCAAGGTTACTCCCCCCACTTGAGTTCTTGGGGAAGAAAACCGAGCCGTAAATTCAAAAACGTTAACTTAAAACGTTTGAAGTTTTAGAGAAAATGAGCAGAAAAAAGGTTTGAAAAGTTCCTCGTTTTTAGCCACAAAATGTGTATTATAGGTAGGCAACAGAACCATAGCAAAAAAATATAAAAAAAAAAACAAAAAAAAAAAAAAAAAAAAAAAAAAAAACAAAAAACTGCGTCCACGCCAGGTAAGAAGCTTGTTGTGACGAACCTCAAGCTGCGTGACGCAGCTTACCTTCGTACAGTTGCGCGCGTTAATCCATACAAGACAGTGCAGGCCGTTGCACGGGGCGCGCGCCAGAGGTTTCAGCCTGGTTAGAGTTGCGTGACACAACTAAGAGTTGCCGTCACGCAGTGATAGCTGCGTGAACGCAAACCCTAAGGCGGGTCAGACTCCTTTGGGCCGGTTTATTTCATTTTTGGTTTGAAACACTTCTGTGTTGATCGTGATTCCTTATCCCTTATCTCCTGCATATTCATCACTGGTAGTGGGGCATAAAATCAACGCGTCAACAATGTTTACCCTTTACCTCAAAATACCTCTTCTTATGCTTGCCTATTAATATTTGAGGGTCAGACTCCTTTGGGCCGGTTTGATTCATTTTTTGGTTTAAACACTTCTGGTTGATCGTGATTCCTTATCCCTTATCCTCATATCATCACTGGGTAGTGGGGGCATAAAATCACGCGTCAACAATGTTATACCCTTCCTCAAAATACCTCTTCTTATGCTTGCTATTAATATTGAAATTTTGTGCCCAGTGTTAGTATTACCCTCTTCTATAATTTATTTTTTCATTATATTGCCTCTTCCCTTACTCAAGTTAAGTACCTTTTCTAAATCATATATATCTAATGTTATGTTTGGGAAGAGGAAGGAAAATAAGGGTGTAAAATACACTATTAACTTTCCTCTTAAAATGAGTGAAAATTAGGCTAGAAATGGTGTAAAAAAAAATACCCAAACTAAACAAAGCATTTAGAAAATTCCAAGGCATTTTCACTCTCTATTTTACATCATTCCTCTATTTTACTTCTATCCAAACAACCAATAAGTATTCAACATATAGTTATATTATCCTAACATCACTACCATATAGTGACATCTCATATACATCACTATCCCTCTCGAACAACCAAGCTTATCTTTGTCTAGTTCCTTCTAATCCTTAGAATATCCTTAAAGCCTTTCTTTTGCAAAAAATTATCTAACCTAAGAATGACATTGTCTATGTATTACATTTTCTCAAATAGGTTACTTCCCCATTGAAGTAAATTCACTCTCTCATCTCATCTCCATAATTTACAATGATATCATAGTCTAATTTAGTAAAACTCGTGCATGTCAAATTGAGATATTTTTGGGTTCAAAATGAAAAACAAAAAATATAAAAATTCATTGGTACGAGAAAAATTTTTACTACAAACTCAGTGATGCCTTCGCGAATTTAACATGTCAAACTTTGCATTCATGATATTAAATGCACAACCAAAAAAAATTCATAACACCACTTCAATAAAAGCTTTAACTATGATGTCAATCAGGTGTGGTCTGGTTAGTCTTTCTACCTCTTGTAAAAGATGTAGAGAGTGAGAGGTCTCGAGTTCGAGTCCTCTCTACCACAAAAGTTATCACCAATTTGGTGAATCTTATTTAAAGAGGAGAGCTGCCCCCTGCTGCGTAGCCTAAAAAGTTATTCCAGCTCATTGGGCCTCTCATATATCGCAAAAAAAAAAAAAACAAGTCTTAATTACAATCATCCCTTGCCTAACATCCATTTTAATCACAAATTATTACAAATTTCAAAAAAACCCTAACCTTAAATAAATAGAAACAATAAAATAATATAGTCTCTCACAACAGACAACTTAGCACAGTAAAAAGCTAAACATGGACTATTAATTAAGTACATATAAAAACTTCAAGAGTATTTCATCATTTGGTCTTGGCGCTATTCTCACTTTATATAGACCCACCCACTTTACTTACTTAGCTCCACTTTATTTTGCATTCTTTGCTTTTACGGGGTCAAAAAAGCTACACCTTAATTGAAACTGATCAATTAAGAGATGATCATAAAGGGAGCAGAGAATAAGTGAAGGAAATTTGAGGCTTTTTAATACATTGTCGGTCTAATTTTTTGTCAAATGAAGTTAATAATGATAACACAGTCGAGAGAGAAAATCAAATCTTAGCACAAGTAGGAGAAAGAGTCAACAAAGAGAAAAAGTGCAAGTGAAGAATTTTTTTGCATTTTTAATTTTCATTTATTTCCTTAAAAAATATGTTTACCTTAGCATATTGCAAATTCTTGATATGGCAAGTGTAAATAGCACTTTTGTGTTGCTCCAATAGTAATTAAGGAATTTTAAAGTGACAAATTGAAGCATATCCAGTGATGAAAGATGAAAATAAGCCATTATTTGCCAATTCTACTCCACTTGTAAATTATTAAGATGCCATCATGCATGTGACTAAGGCTATGTTTGGTTTAATGTAATGCAATGTAATATAATTAAAGATGTAATGCAATGAAAAATATAATGTAATGAAATGTAATTGACATTCAATTACTATGTTTAGTAATGTAATTAAAAAAACTTATGGAATGTAATCACTATTCAATTTTTATATTTATTTTCTAAATATGTAATGTAATTAGCATACCACCACCATCACCACCGCCACTATCACTCCATCACCACCGCCACCATTACATTATTATTAATAAAAAAATATTTGAATCAAAAGTTATTCATCACATCAAGCTATTAAAGACTATTTAGAGCTATAAACCATTCAGACAAGAAAATTAAAAAAAATAAACCGGAAAAAATATAATGTGATAAAATAAAAGTTAAAGTCATTGAAAATTTTTTTTTCACATAATTTTATATATTTTCGTTGAATAAATTAAATTACAATATAAAATTATAATATTTTATTCTTTTTTAATGATTTTTCATTCAATTCTTCCTATTTCTATAACAATAAGAAGATAGTTAATAATGATGTGGTAGTGATGGTGGTGGTGATGGAGTGGTGGTTGAGGTGGTGGTGGTGGTGGTCGGCGGTTCCAGCGGTGGTTGTGGTGATGGTAATGGTGATAGTAGAGTGGTGTGGTTACGATGGTGATGGCAGTGGAGTGGTGGTTGCGGCGATGGTGATGGTGATTGCGGCAGTAGTAGTTATGGTGGTGGTGATTGCAGCGATGGTGGTGAAGTAGTGGTGGTGGTAGTGATTGGCCATGGTAGATAGATGGTTATGGTGGTGGTTGAAAATAGGTATGGCATTTGATGAATGCAATGGGCTTTACATAGATTTTTTTTCATTACATCAATTTAAATAATGAAGATTACTCGTATAATCTCAATTACATTACAAAGTTAAACCAAACAATGTAATCAACCATATAATGTAATTCACATTCCATTACATAATTGCTTACATCATACTAAACATAGTCTAAATATATTTCTCATTACTTCTTTAAATATTATAGACTTGTGTGGTTGGACCAGTCTCATAAAAGTTGATTAAGTTCTCGTGATTAAGTGCATTGATTAAGTGGCCATGCATACCTTCTCACATGCCTGTAGAGTGATTTACCTTTATGAGCATCAAATAAACTCAATATTAGAATTTTTAAAATGAGATGAAGCTTAAAATGATATGAAAAGACTATATTCAAGAAACTAAACACCCTAAATTAATAGTAAACAAACACAATTCCAAAATCAATCCAAAGCAGATACAAACTGGAGCAAATACATCGCATAGATACATAGAAACAGAGTTGTCTACATAAACTTGAACCCACTTCCTTGGAGCATAGTAGTTAATAACTCGAACCCATTTCCTTCCATAGTCTTTAGAGCACTGAATGGTCTCACCTCTCTAAGGCTTCCAGAGAATGGTGGTTTCAGCGATCATTGAGGTGACAACATATGGATCCATGTTTGATGCTGGCCTTCTATCCTCAAAATAACCTGAAAATTGTTTAATATATAACAAAGGAAGTTACTGTTTTTGTATGATATAGAACAGAGTTGCTAGGACTAAACTTTGAATCGTATCAATATTTTTTTATATATATAACTAGGAGGTGTAATCCTTTACCTTTTCCACTTTTCTCTGTGTCACGGCCAACACGAATAGAAGCTCCCCTATTTGCAACTCCCTAATAATGTTATCATGTGGAGAGGTTAATAATGCATATTACATTACTGTATGTAAAACTGAAATTGATTGAAATATAAGGCTTTGCAAATTCTAATTTTGTAATTATCAGTAATAGAAGGCTTTAAAAATCATTTGTCAGTAATCATACCCAAGAGAAAGTGTGGATATCAGCAGTCTCATGGCGACCTGTCAATCTTCTCTCATTACCCTCTCCATAGGCAGCTATATGCTCCTTATGACGCAGACCCAACTTCTCAATAGCCTTCTTTATAACAGCTAGTCCACCATCATTTCTCATTGACTTGGTGCTGCAAGTTTAGTTAAATGAATCAAAAACATATTGGCATATATCATAATTGAGGAAAAAGTTTCTGGTTCAGCCTATAAATACCTGTAATTGGTGTGAGCACCAGCTCCATTCCAATCACCCTAGAAATTGATTAACAAAAACAAGTGAATTATTTTTTTGTTTTTCTTCTAAAAAATGTGAGACAGATGGGGCAATTAGAAACCAATAATTAAATAATATGATAAACCATATTATGCATTGGACATGATAATTTTACCATACTTCAATAAAAAAAATTAAATAACGAATACCCATTTTTGACCACTTCCTTTCAATATTATGGCTAATCCGATGAGGCACTAATGGAAAAATCCACTCCATTGCCATTTCTATATTGCACTTATGTTTAGGGTTCAGCAAACTTCACTAAAACCGACAAGATAATCAACCCGATTCGGTTCGAAGTTATAACCTATTTTATTCAATTTGATTTACATTTTAAAATTTTCAATTTATTCTATATTAGGCAAAAAATTAAAGTATTTTAAAAATGAGAATAGTAAAACTGCTGCATATGCACAAACCTGAATTGGTTTTGGGTCAAAAGAAAGGACGACTCCTGCAATTTCGGTGATTCGCTATTCAAACGAGTAACATGTTAGGAAAGAGGTAGAAGGAAAAACTAAGGATGTACTAAAACCAGAATGTGATAGTACTTGCAATTAGTATTATAATTACAAAAATTAATTACCTCAAGAATGTATCGAGCAACCCATAATTCATCACCAGCAGAAATACCAACAGAAGGGCCAACTTGAAATTCCCACTATTGAATTTACATTAAAAAAAAAATGTTTTAACAATTCTTTTTTTTTTAATTTTAAATTTTTTTGGGCAATAAAAAGAAAGACGAAATCAATGATTAATACCTGGCCGGGCATAACTTCACCGTTGATACCACTGATGTTAATACCAGCGTACAAGCATGCCTTGTAGTGGGAGTCCACAATATCCCTACCGAAGGCTTTGTCAGCCCCCACTCCGCAGTAGTAAGGACCCTGCACGCACACACCATATGCCATGTTTAAACGGAGATGACTCCATTGGGCTATAGTCAATGCACCTCATATGGTGGATTATATGATAGAATTCAAACCTGGGGACCAGGGAAGCCACCAACTGGCCATCCAGTAGGCCATTTAACATCCTTCTGTAGAAGAGTGTACTCTTGCTCAATTCCGTACCTGATAATGACCCACAAATAAAATATATTAAAAATAAGAAACTTTTAACATTACTCAGACTCCATTTGTTTTTATAAAGAAAAAATATTTTTTACAGTATTTCATTGTTTGTATATTCAGAAAATAAGTTAACGTAAAATAATTTCATAATTAAAGAAAAACTAAATCATTTTTAAGAAAAATAACTCTCATTTTTAAGAAAAATTTATTGTAACATTATAAATGCACATTTTTTAATTTATTAATCACCTATAATTACTACTACCAGTTATCATTCATCAACAGTCATCACTATTAGCCATCAGTCACCCGCACCTTCTATAATTTACTATCTTTTGCATTTTTTCTCATATTTAATAACAAGTTTTTAAAGTATAAAATTTCTATTATTATAAACAATTTTATAGTCTTGTGAGTTAAAATTTTTTAACTAAATTTCAATATTGCAAATAAATAATGAAAAAATAAATTACTAGAAAAATATTTTCCTTGAATATATTTTCTACGGATAAGTTATTTTTCGAAAATAAAAAGAGCCTTACATGTATCATTTTTTAGGTTACAAATTGGATTATCGTCAAAATCAAATTTAAATAAAAAATGGTAACCTTTTAATCTCACCCCTCTTTCCAAAAGATTTCCTTTTAAAGTATTCTACTTTAATTTTGTTATATTTTCATTTTATAAAAAAAATATTTAGACCTTTTAATTAAATTTACATAGATAATAAAATTTTGAGTTTTGCTCTGTTTTTACTCTTGGCTACGAAAGTCAATGTAAAAAGGTTAAAAAATAAAAAGTAATAAAGAGTAGGTTGAGTAAACACATATATGATAAATGTATTTGTTGATAATCTTTGTTGCTATCCTACTAGGTTTTTTTTTTTTTTAAATGTATTTATTATTAATAATTTCTGAGGAAAAGGTTATATTGACAATCACATGAAAACACGAGAACAAGCAGATGAGAATTAATTAAATATAAATGGGTGGTAGGTGAGGAATTGACCTGGTCACAAGGGAACACCTAACCGGAGCTTATCTTGAGATGGTATCCCATCTTAAGTTTGACTTAATGAAGTTTTATTTTTAAATTTTTATGACTAAAATACATCATAAATAATAGTTACTTTAAAAATATAATAATTACATTTTTAATTTTTCATAATTAAGTTTCTTTTTGCTTTTAAAAATTTGTTATTTTTTGCTGTAATAAATTGATATTATAAATTAATTTTTGTGTATTTTATTAAATTCACTTGTCTAGCCAAAATAAAAGAGTTGAATTTAATGTTTTGTTTTGTTATTTAATCAAAATGATAATGATTCATTTGATTAAATTATATAAATAAATAATATTATGGGTGAAGAAATGATCCGTTTGGTTGAATCGAACCGAACTGAACCAAGACGAAAAATGTAAACAGAAATTTTGAAAAGTGAATCAAAACAAACCAGCTTAATTCAATCAATTTAATTGTTTCTTGCCAAATATGTTGAATTTTAATCTTAAGTGAATCGAAACATCACAAATTTTAGTTCAAAACTGATTAAATCAATAATCGAACTTTCTTTCATTTCTTATGTGATTTTGCACACTCCTGATTACTATGAGTTCCAAAAAAAAAAAAAAAAAAAAAAAAAAAAAAAGTAGAGCAAATAAAAAAAAAAAAAAAAAAAAAAAGTTAGAGAAATAACAAATTTACAAAAAAGAGAAATAACAAATTTATTAAAACATTGTAATATTGAAAAGAAACATCTGTATTTATACCCACTCTTTTACTGCCAAAAACAAGAAAAAAATGTTTTTTACTAATTATTCTCATTATCATTGTTAGCACAAGACGAAAGCCAAAAGAACAATCCCAACCGTCCATTTTATTAATATTTTAATTTATTTCGTATCAGATACCACCAAACTAAGTTGGCAGTATTCTGCTGTTCCGTACAAGTTTCCTTTTCTCGTTGCCTGCCTTTGTCATTGAACAGGACAAAACAAGCAGAAATCTAAATATTTTGCATATTTTCCCCCACTTACATTATTATAATGTAAAAATAATTCATTAATCAATTTCAATAATTAGCCAAATTAGTAAATTGAATCCCAAAATCATACTAAAAATAAAGTAAAATTTTCTAAATCCAACATAATTATATTTTTATCATAAACGAAAATTTAAGTTTAATAAAGAAAATTATTATTATCATTATTATATTGTTAAATTTGATTTTTATTTTTTTACCAGAATTTTGGGCAACTTGTATATTTAGTCGATACAGTTTTTTCTTTCCAGTCTGTTGAACGTTGACCTGAAGATCTTATTCACATGGTACTTCAAAATTTCTACACAGCTATTTTTTCAAAATCATGATAATGACTTTGGGCCCCTTCAAATCATTATAATAGATTTTACAAAATATTATTAAGTTAAAACCACATATTTAAAAATTAATTAAAAATAAAGTTTTTAAATTTAAATACTATTATTTGGGAGCCACTGATGATTTTGAGGGGGTTGGTAAATAAGTCAATAATAACTACTAGTTATGGATGAACTAATAAATATGTATTCATTATCTTTTTTTTTTTTATGACAAGTTTGTCAATATGTAAAAATGTTTTTATTTTAAAAAATAAGGAGTATTTTTTAAAAAAATAATTTGATTTTCCCTAATCAAGAAAAAAAAATTTTAAGATAAACAGTCTATATTTATCATAAAAATATAAATAAATGCAATATCATGAAAAATAATTACCAACACTCTTCGGCAACAACGTCAGGGTGGCTAAAGATCTTGGCAGCATTGGACCTTTTGTTTGTTGGAATAGGTTCGCCGGCCGGTGTGTATGCGTCGCACATCACCTACATGCAATCATTGCGGACCAACTTAAAAGACATTATTGCCCTTGCCTTTTTAAATCGCAGTAATATCTTTGTAATTGATATAAAACATCTTGATGAGAAGGAGATTTTTGAAATGATGAAACTTACCAGGATATTGTTTCCTTTTCTGAAGGGATCCCTAAAGATTGCTTGGGGGCTTATTCAATCAAAAATGTTAGTAATTCATTTAAAATAATAATAATAATAATAAAACATGTATTTCTTGAAATAATATTACTGTAATAACAAATAAAAAATCATGGGTATAATTTAGTGACGAAGTGCCTAATTCAATTGATGACCTTCCATATTCTGAGATAAGTTTTGTATTATTAATTGCGTTTTGGATAAAATAATATCATTGATGTTGGGATCAAAATTGAAAAGAAGACAAAAAATATTCCTCAATTGATTCGCAATTAAAGACTTCTTAATTGAAGGAACAATCATCACACGACAACTCGAAAACGAATCAAATCAGAACAAACTTACCTTATATAGAATAAGTGAAATAAGTAGAAAATTTCACTGGAAAAATAATTTAATCCTCCCTCTAATAAAAAAAAAAAAAAAAAAAAAAACGCAATTAGAAGACTTCTTAATTGGAAGGGAACAATCATCACAACGACTCTAGCTCGAAAACGGAGCGAGAGAGAGAACAATACGTTACCAATAACTAGAAATAATAGTGAAATAGTAGAAATTGTCACTGAGGAAAAATATAATTTTAATCACTACTCCTCATAAATATAAAAAAAAAAAGAAAAAAAAAAGCTAAATTTGATCACTGTTTAATTGAAAGTGTGTATTTAAAATATTAATCCTAAATCTCTAATTATGAGGATATATATGTAGCCCCAATAGAGTCAGGCGAAATTTATGGAGATAAAAAAAAAAAAAAAAAAAAAAGCTAAATTGATCTTTTAATTGAAAGTTGTATTAAAATTAATCCTAATCTCAACTTTGAATATATTGTAAGCCCCAATAGAGTAAGAGAAATTATGAGATCAAGATCGAAACGTACTACAAAATGACTTCACTGTCATCACCAGGGGCTTGGCCTGTGCTAGAGCCATCATAGTTCCATTTAGGAAGTTTAGAAGGGTCAGTCACTGGTCCAGGAAGAGTCTGTTTAACAAATGATCAGAAAGATCAAATAACCAAAATAAAAAATAAAAAAAATGAAATTCTAGCTAGAGGGGGAGAAAAACTCACCCTTGCTTTGCTCCTCAAGTCCAAGCCAGATCCACCAATCCTGAAAAAACAAGAAACGGAACAGAACAAAGCATTAGTTTGAGTAAAAGAATATTTAAAAAGATAAAGTATGCCATACCAGATGTATTCAGCTATGATCTTGTCCGTTGTCTCGGAGAGATTGAGGTTGATTAGATCGTTAAGGAGAGACATGCTTGGCCTCCAAAGACAAAGCAACAGCAGAGAGAGAGAGAGAGAGAGAGAGAGAGAGGTCGCTGAGGAAAGGGGTTCGGTATGTGGAGAGATTAAATAGAGATTATGTGGTAGCCACCTAATCTTCCAATAAACAAGGAATAAAAAATATGACGTTTGGAGAATATTCAACGATAAAATTTAGATTCTAATATTGGAATCTGCATTGTCATTAGCGGTTACGAAAACTGACCTACCATTTATAAATCAAAATATTCAGTGCAATAATTAATTGTATATATATTTATTTGGTAATTTAATATATTATTTCACCTCAATTTTAAATTTCATTTGGAATTTGACCTTTATGTCAATTTCACTCTAAATTATAATTAGGACTTAAATTATTAATAAAAAAGGTTCACTCTTGGCCTTGGGATTAAATTAACTTAATACATTTATATGAATAAAGAAGTTCGGGTTAATAGTATGGATAATCTCTATTATTATTTTTATTATTTTTAAATTATTTCTTTTATTGATAATAGTAATATTCAAAAATTAATTATTTAATATATGAACTCTTTTTTTTTTAAAAAAAATAGAATATAATTATTATTATGGTTTGATTTTAACATAAATTTTAAAATAATTATAAAATCTAAAACAAAGCTACTGTTAATTTATTTAACTCATAAACTATTAGAAATTGTAACATTTTTTATATCAAAAATAATATAAGATATAATTATATTCTATTTAAAAAAATACATTCATGTATTAAAAAATTAATTTTTAAATATTATTTATTATCAATTAAGGAAATAATTTAAAAATATTTAAAATAATAATAGAGATTGTCCTTACTATTAATCTAAATTCCTTCAAGCATACAAATGTATTAAATTAACCAAACCTAATGTAAAGAGTGAACATATTTTTTATTTACAATTTAAGTTCTAATTATAATTTACGGTGCTATCAAAGTTTATGGTAAAATTGGTATAAAGATCAAATTGAAGTGCAATTGTAACAAAAGGTTAAAGTTTAGGGTGAAATTAACATAAAGATCAAATCGAAGTGAAATTGTAATAAAGGTAAATCAATATATTAAACCTATTTATTTTGAGAGAAATAAAGTTTTTTAAACCGAGGGGGTTGTTCATTTTTGGAACTAGGGGCAAACCACAAAAACTGCTCAAACCAATTTAAATCCATCCAAATCTATTCAAATTTGCAGTTTTAAAAAATTGTTAGTTTGCTTTGATTTTATAAAATTTAATTATGGGATTAGTGCGTATTGGATAATAATCAAACAATAATTTTATATTAATTAATAATTTAGTATATAGTAATTCTTTTTATGACGCGTGATGCACGTTGACTATACTCTTTATATGCTGACTTTTTATACTTATTTAGCTTTTTTTATTTATATAATTAAAGTATAAATTTTATTTGGATTGTAATAAATATAGTGATTTTTATATCTACAATAAAATATATTTTTTTGGTTTTATATCTTACACTGTAATATCTCATTAAACAATTAATATATTTGTTTCTCTTTTGAAAATAGCAATTTAAATATGAAATATATCATTTATATTTGCTTCAGTATATTGGTTCATATAATTTTTATTATACGCGAATTGGTTTTATTTTTTATATAAATACCAAATTGTTTATAAAAATCATCATATACATTTTATTTTACATTTTATAATTAATTTATATGTTTTGTTAATAACTTTCATTATAATATTTTTTAGTAAATAGATATACTTTAAAAATAGAATAAAAAACTAATCTAATAAATAAAATTAAATATTGATAATAAATAATTATTTTTATTTTATTTTTTTACCCAATCAAAATCATGAAATCATTCCAAAAATTTTATTAATAAAATTATATTCCTTAATAGAAAAAATAGAATTTGAATTAAATAAGATATCAATATAATTAATCAAATTCGAGATGTTTAAAAATAATTTTTTTTATCTTTTTTTTTTACATTAGGTTGGTCCAAAATTTCCATTGCGAAAAGAAAAAAAATTCCCCCTAAATTAAGTCACTATATTATATAGTCTATAATAGAAATATATATCCGCGCGCCCAATTAAATAAGATATCAATATAATGTAAGTTCAAATTCGAAGATGTTTAAATGATATTTTTTTAATCTTTTTTTTTTTGCCAACCAAAATTAGAGTGGTAATTTATAATTAAGAGAAGAGGAGGACCAATACCTGGTGTTGTTTTTTAAAAATTAAATCTTAATATCTAATACTATTTTATTTAAAATGAAATTTAAAAAAATAAAATTTTCAAATGTCCCTAACATTTGCACATATTCATTGGACAAAAATAAATAATTGAACCGCACTCCACCTTCCCACTCCCACGCTCACCACCAAAATATAATAATTATATATATATATATAAATTAATAAAAATTATTAAATTTTTTTATAATAAGTCCAAAATAATAATAATGTAATGAAATAAAGATATAATTAAGATCATAGTTTAAATTTGTCGCAAAATGCCCCTTAATTATCCATATGTATTTAATCTATTAAAAAAGTTTAAAACAATCCAAGTCAAAATTATAGAATAATAATAAATTATTAAAATTATTAAATTTTTATTAATAATTTATATAATAAAGTAATGAAATAAAATATAATTAGACATATTTAAATTTTCAAATGCTTAATTATCCATATGTATTTATCTATTAAAAAAGTTTAAAACAATCCAATCAAATTATAGAGATATTAGATTATTTTAGAGTATCTTAAATTTTACAATGATAATATAGGAAATCTCATTATTCTTTCTCACTCCCACTTTTATATATAATATAGATTATGTATAAACTATATGTAAGCATAGTTTTTTTATTATATTTTTTTTTATAATTTTTTAGTGATAAATGTAAAGATAAATCAAAATTTAGATTATATTTTTATAAATTGTTTATTAATATTTTATTGAATATATAATCTTTTTTTATATCACACTCAGAATAAACGTATAAAAATTAATTTAAAAATTTTCGAACATCTTATGATTTTTATTAATTTATTTTCCATATTTAGTATATTATGTTAATTTTTTTTTTACTTTTTACCTAGATGAACGAGGAAGTCTCCCTTCAAACAGTCCAAACTGTCAAACCAAATCGAACCAAATTAAATCGCCATTAAAGGTTTGATTTGATATAAAATTTTTGATGGTTTGTTTTGCTTTTAATTTTTTCATACCACCACTTCAAGTTTGGCTTGATTATTATATCCAAATCGAACAAAATTGATCCACGAACAACCTATCTATAACCACCACTGACAATAATAGTTCAAAAATTTAGAGCATGTTCGATTGGATATAATGCAATATAATATGATGAAAGATGTAATGCAATAAAAATATATTGCAATAGATATAATTAACATTTCATTACTATACTTGGTCATGTAATAGAAAATAAAATTATGAAATGTAATCATCATTCCATTTTTATGCTTGTTTGTAAATATGTAATGTAATTAGCATACCACCACCACTACCAACACCCACCACCTCACCATTACCACCATATCATTATTAATCACTATAAATAATTGAATTAGTTGAGTTTATAGAGATTATGGGGAAATTTTATTATTTCACTATTTTCTGTATATTTATTGAGATTAATACATCCTATTTATACACAAGTATCTAATTCTAAACAGGAAAAACAAATAAGGCAAGAATAAAATTTTCTCTTAAATAATCTATACACAATTCCAAATCACACAAGTTAACACTCCCCGCAAGTTAGTGTATAGATATTGCATGACTTAATTTCACTCATCATATTTGGATTATACCCCTATTACATTGGCGTACCAAAATTTCAATTTGTTACGCAAAAATATGAAAGCTTTATTTGTAATAGCTGAAATACATCCATTACTCTAGTCGTTTGATATTAGACGGAATGCTGACATGGTGCGTTGGAAACGTAAAAAGGTGGTTCATTACCCCTGCCAAGTCAGAGATGTATTAAAACTCTCTATCTTCCTAACTAAATCCAATTTCTCTCTCCTGCCCAAATAAAACCCATCTCTCTCTCTCTCTCTCTCTCTCTCTCTCTTTTGAAGCTCTCATCGATGACCAAAGAAGTATCCACAACCCTCTTTCATGGCTTTCTTAGCCATTTCAAGCTCAAAAATGCGCCAAGTCGTTCGACTTTATATAGCTGTGGGCAGGAAGCGATCATGAAAACCTCATTGACTGAGATTAATCCTGGTAGGCATTTTTTGGATGTGTGAATTAATGGGGTAACTTTTGTGGAGGTGTAACCAGTATGATATCAGGAGATTTCTAGTTCTGTCAGTTGGGTTTTAGATGGCTTATATGTTGAGCATGGACAACATCACCTTCTACCCAAACTCCCAACTGATGAGGCAGATGGGACATACACAGGGGTTATCACCAGCTGGTGCCTTTTTTGAGGATACACTGATTTCACCTCAGGTTACTGTGGCTGTTCTGGGTGGTTGGTCTAGGGGAGCATATATGGTTGAGGCTATAGTTTCTGGGGGCAGGATTGTTGCATATGAGGCTTGGTGGATACTTAAGCATGGTGACTGGGAGAGAGAGCATAAAGCGACTTTGACTTGGGAGATTGACACTAGACTCTAGGCAACTATTGAGATTGTCATAAACTCTACCTGATAGGCAGACCTAGAGTACTCTAATGATTTGAGGGACATTCATCCGAAGCAGTGCAGACGAGCGACCTAGACCTTCAGTGCATGCCGACCTTATTTTGATAGGGTAGGATTTTCAACATTTTGATTTTCGACTCAGCCCGTGTTTTTGTGAGGGCTTCGAGATAGATTACTAACTCATGATGTATAGAAGGCACAGTTGACACATTGGACATTTTGACACTCTGGATAGTTGACACATAGGACATAAATAGTTGACACATAGATAGATGACAGAGGTAGGTGACAGAGGTAGATGCCTAGATGATAGTGCTTTAGTGATTTGCTTTTTAAATAGCTTGTACTGATTTGAAAGATATGTAAAAAATGGAATTTATGAGCTTATTATT